ATGTACAGAATTGTATAGTAGAACACATATAAATTCTTAACATAGTACATATAACTAATATAATGCATAATACATATAAACTTTAATTTTAATATAATACACATAAACTCTTAACATAATACATATTAACTCTTTACATAATACACATAAACTCTTAACATAATACACATAAAAAAAATTAAAAAAAAAAACAAAAAAAAAAACCACTATAACGAGATTGGACGGACGGAACAGTGTCTATCGCGTCAACTCCCCCAACTTATAGAAACAATGTCGTTTTGGGTCGAGGCGCACAATGGTGCACGATATAATTTTCTGTCACTCCGATGGGCCTCACTACTTGGGCTAAGAGCATCAATATCAGTAGTTATTTAGGAGATATTTCTGACAAATTAGAGAGAGAAATGAAAAGAGAAGGTAGGAGAGAGAGGGTTTGGGTTCATCTGTTAGGAAGAGATTTTGGAATAGTGACCTGGTCAAAGGAAAGGAAATAGGTTGTGCGCGTTTCGCACACAGCAACTGCCAACATTGCACGCACCGGGTGACGCGTCTGGTATTAAATTATTATTTTTAAAAAATCAATTTTCTTTAATTTTTTTTCTTTTTTCTCTCTCATCTCATATTCTCTTTCATAATCACACTTACAAAAACTCCTCAAAAATCACAAAATATCTCCACTATTATGGATGCTCTAATGAATTCAGAGCGTACACTATAATCCGGCAAATTATATCGTGCACCAGGGCGCACAATGCATTGTGCACCCTGACCCAAACGACGTCGTTTTGTATATTTTTTATTTTTTAAAAAAAATTTCGTTTCCCGTGTCTGCTGTTTAATTCTCAAAAAAAATAAAAAAACAAAAAACAAAATTCTCATGTTTCATATGTACATAATTGTATAATAGAATGTACATAAACTCCTAACATAATATATATAATCTTTTTTGAAAGAATAATACACATAATCTAACATAATACATAATACACATAAACTTTTAATATAATATACATAAACTTTTAACTTTGAAAAATCTCTTATTTCAAATATACATAATTGTATAACAGAATACACATAAACTCCGTTATGCCAACTTCCTTACACAACTTAACAAAATGACATCTTTTTAAACAGGGATACACAATACATTGTGCGCCTTGATGCACAATGCATTGTGCGTCCTTGTGCACGATATATAGATTGCTATAATCCTAACATCGAGTTTGAATTTTATGAATAAAAAATAAGTGTTGAGAAAGCTCTTTATTAGTGACTTAATTTGAGTGGAGTAATAAATATAAATATATTAAGTGTAATAAATTATTATGTACATCACACGTTTTGTAACAAAAATCAGCCCTAGTTAGCTGTTGGGTTTCTTTGGGCCGCCGAGGATATTGAATGTCGCCGCCCGTGCTGATGTCATATTTCGGCATTCTCTATATCCGCAATTTATATCGTGCACGACACAAAACGCGCGCATTTCATGCTGGCGTCATACTGACATCACTCTATCTATCCGAACAGATCAAACCTCATTATGAATTTAGTTAAAATTTTATGTGTATTGTGTTATGAGTTTATATGTATTCAGTTAAGAGTTTATGTGTATTATGTTAACCAAACCCATTATGTGTATTCCGTTAAAAGTTTATGTGTATTGTGTTATGAGTTTATGTGTATTATACATTATGTTAGATTATGTGTATTCTGTTATGAGTTTATGTGCATTCGATACATGAAATTTTTTTTAACAACTTAACAAAACGACGTCGTTTCGGGAGGCGCGGGACGCACAATGCTATGTACGCCCTGGTGCACGGTATAACAATTGCTCTATATCCTTTGCCGTGGATAATAGACTTGTCCTGGCCGTATGTCCTTTAATTCAATTTTTGGATCAATTGCTTTTCATTACAGTAAAAATTTATAATGAATAATAATTGTATAATTTTATTTCTTTATACTTGTGTAGTAACGTGTGTCACGTTTCAAGGTCTCTGCCCAACAATCTCCACCCCGCACTTGCCAACTTCAACCGCAAAACATGTTTTCAATAGGATCTCTCCTCCCCGCACTTGCCAACTTCAATTGCAAAACATGTTTCAATAGGATCAAGATGAAACGTTTACTATTATTGGCAAAAGTTATGTAGCTAGTAACAAATGTGCAACTTTATTTTATTATAATTGCACAACAACGTACAATCGACATCACGTTTTGATGATATGATATTGTACTCGGCCTTCCAAGCTCCATCCAACGTTAATGTTTATTTTTACTTTTCCGTCTCAAACTTTGTTTTTATTAGAGGAAATTGATTTTTTTTAGTACTACTGACTCGGTTACAATGTAGTATCTGTTCATAGCTACTTTCTCAACCTACTGAAGCATAAAGCCTACTGAAACATAAAGAGTCAATACCGCTCCTACTGGGGAGCATACTCATAACCTCCCATTTGGGAGAGTCAATTCATGCCACTAGACCACAAGGTCATTGGTAGGAAATTGGTTAATAAACATGCTTTCATTTTTATCCTAAATTGTTCTAATTTTTTGTTCTTAAAAAATATGTAATATATTACAATAAGTAAATAAACATACAATAGTTCAATCCTAGTACTTTGATCTAGTTCACCACGGCATGGAAAGCTCTATCATTCTACAATCGAAATATGAAACTGACTGTTAAGCAAGTATAAAGAAATAAAATTACTTATTCGTTACTAGTTATAACTTTTGACGTAGCAGTAAGCGCTTGACCATGATAATTAGTATTAGAGTAGCTCACACACATTAGAAAAATATACTAATATAAAAAAAATGTGTATATTTGTACGTACATATTATTTTTCTTTAAATATACATAAATATTAATTAACAAAAAATATTTACCCCTAAAAATTTTGATGCATCATAACTTCTATAATAATAAAAATGGGTTGGTCAAATCTAAGATCAATGCATATATGTTGGTCAACATGTTTGAGTTATTACAAAATCAAACACAACCTATGAGTCAAAGTTGATTATATTATTAGAAGTCTATAACCAGCATATATGCATATATATAGCACGCATGGATTAAGTTGCATTATTTAAACACCGACCTACATACGCTATTATATCTATATAGGAATCAATTAAAAGGCTGAAGAATATTTATACCTTCGCCATATATAGGTCTGCATGCATGATAATATTGTAAACCAAACCAATCAAATAAAATCAAACCTCCAAATCATAAAAGAAATGATTGGTTGAGTAAACATATTAACCAAAAGTTAAAAGGCTTAGTTTCAACTCCCACCCACAATCATCAAAACAATGTTTCATAATGATGAACTGCAGGGAGTTGTCCAAACCCTAAATTTCAAAGACTGGCTAGAGAGAGAGAGAGAGAGAGAGAGAGAGAGAGAGAGAGCATTAACAGCTTACCTAATGAGCCGCCCACATATAGCTTCTGCAAGTGGTGGCTGATGGGAGGATTTGGTAACCAAAAGTTGAGCAAAATAATTAACCAAAACTTAAAAATCATTAGCAGCACCAAGCAAATTAGAATTCAATAATAGGGTTCAAACATGTGTTTACTTTGATTGGATGACAATAAAGTTAGGTCAACTCAATCTTAAGCGGTATGTTTTGAACATTTTTAAATGATCAGTGTTTGTTTTTGATGGCATATTATATTAGAATAACATTTTCACGATTTGTATAGTTATTTTGTCATTATCCTTTCACGATTTGTATAGTTATTTTGTCATTATTCTTTAGTATAGTGTGTGTATTTGTATAGTTATTTTATCGTTATCCTTTAGTATAATGTGTGTGCGCGCGCACTGACACACATGTCCATGTGTGCTTGCGTGTTATATGGTCTATAAAGGACGGACTAAGCTAGCAAGATTTGACATTTCATAGCGAGTTATTCTTTACCCACATACTAAATACTTATAAATTTAAATTTATCTATGAAAATCCGAAGATATATAAATTAAATAGTTACATATTTCATTGATTTATGTTATAATTTTTTGGGAGACAAGAAAAACACACAACCACTATCTAAGGGTCTGTTTGGAAACTCAGAAAATGTTCTGGAAATGTTTTCTGGGCTTACAGTGTTTTGATGTAATAGAAAAATTGGAAAACATTTCTAGGAAAAATGTAGGCATTTTGGCTGAAAATGACTTCAACCAAAATTTGACGGAAGGCATTTTCTACCAACACTCAAAACATGGTTTTCGCCAGAAACCACGGCTGTTCTGGTTTCCCGCAGAAACCAGTTTTTTTTTTTTTTTTTTTTTGATATATAATATTATTTTTAATATTATTATAACTATTTTTATATTATACAAAAAATATTTAAAATACATTGGAAAGAAAAATATTTTCTAACTAGAAAATGACTCATTTTCCAGAAAATATTTTCTAGAAGTGATTTTAATGCTTTCCAAACGAACCCTAAGGATACATAATTAAAGAATGAAATGTACTCCTGTCACATCTCACATTTGTAATAGCTCACAAACTACACATGAAAATTAATGCGCGAATTTTACTGCTAGTAAATTAGATTTTTCTTGTAGCGAATGCAATAGCTAGGCATATAATAATAAAATAACAAAGCATAATAATTGATAAAATGAGAAATAAAAACCTAACCAAACTATCTTTAAAAAAAAAAAAAAAAAAACTCAATAACCTAGCATTAGTAACTACGTTGAGTTTGTGATCGGTACAAATTAAAGATTTAATATTTAATATTTAGTGTACTGTGCAATAAGTTCTTGAGAGGTGACGCATCTGATGATCACGAGAGGTACGTGCCGACCGTGGCAGTGAAATGTATGTATAACTTGGACGAAGATGACGAAATACAAGAGCTACGGGAATCGTGTTTTCCGGTGCCAAGACGTCAGCGTGAATCTTCTTAATTTCTCCATCTATTTAAATCCCCACACACATGCACACTTTCCATTCCTATCCTAGCTCGCTCCCACACATTAATTAAGGAAAGACAACCAACGTTAATCGTTAAGCTAGATTATTTGCAGGCAGGCATGATTTCTCGGCCTAGACGCTGGTCTCCCACGCCGGAGCAGCTGATGGTGCTGCAGGAATTGTACCGGAAAGGGTTGAGGAATCCCAACTCGTCTCAGGTGAGGACAATCACCGCCCACCTCTCGTTGTACGGCAAGGTCGAGGGGAAGAACGTGTTTTACTGGTTCCAGAACCATAAGGCTAGAGATAGGCAGAAACTTCGGAAAGCTCTTCTTAAACAAATGCACCACCGCCACTTGCCGTTTCCCGCACCCCCGCCACCACCTTCCGCCACCGCCGTCACTACTCCAAATCACCATCCCAAGTCGTTGCTTGATTCCGCCTCTTCCCACCGCCACTCGCTCTTTAATAACCCCAATACATTTCTTCATCATCAGGTAACAACACCTGAACATATATGCCTATATTTGGTAACATATTTAGCTTATCAGTCAATTTTGACTTGTTTGACTACTGCTAGCTGTTTGACTTGGTTAAGTAACCAATATGAGTGTTTGATTAATTAGCTTTTTGTTACAGCTTATTGCTTCAAAATGCTAAAATTCAAAAAGCCTTGCTCAAAACAACTTTTTCCATCAGCTTTTTGAAAAAGTCATTTTGCATGTAATCAGTTATCAACAGCTAATTTACCAAACATCTCTCTACAATCAACTAATGCTATCAACTAGTCAAACTCATTAACCCAATCAACTTACAACTATTTACCAAATACCCTCATAAGTTTTTTTTAGCCACGAGGGAAACCCATATCCATTACTCAAGGGTGGGTGTGTACCTTGTAACCCTAGCCGGTAAAGGACCATGTAAACTAGCCTAGTTGTCCATAGTTACCGACTTAAACCAACAAAGCTAATAGTCCACTCCCATTGGAGTAGAATTTGGAACTTTGTGATTATTATCATGTCAATCATCCGGCTAACTTATCCAATAAATTAAAACAATATGTTGTTAGGTACAATGAACATATTGTTTTATTGGGTATAGAGGTTCAGGCTACTTTTTGTCCAACTCTAACATCAAATGAAAATACGATAGCCAAGTAAATCTGATTTGTAACCATAAGGTTTTAAGTTTGACTCTCTGTTAGAGCGGCCTATTTGTTCTTTGTGATCTTTCTCAGCTAGATCACAAGATCAGTTTATCCAGTACATACCATTAGATAGTAGATATAAGTTTTCCTCATAATCTAAAAACACTAAAATATGCATTATGTTTCAACTAAAAGTTTAAACTACATTGCAGGGCGGGGATGAAGAGGGAAGTGATATGGAGAATTGCATGATGATGAGAATGTATGGTCGTGATTGGATGTTGATGATGGGGGGAATGCTGCCAACTTTTCCATGTTACGTTGACAGAACGCCCAAAACCCTAGAGCTCTTCCCTCTCAAGTCAACCAACATGAAGGACGACCAAAGCAGCAGCAACGACGACAATTGCTAAAGCCGTTACATTTTGCCCTTTCCTTCTTAGTTTCGATGTTTTTAAGGTTTTCATAATGTAAACATGTATGTAGGTAGCTGCTGTGAGATCTGTGTTAAGTTAGTTACTTAGTTAGTAGTATGAGTGTGAGATTCACAATATATGCAATATGATGTATCAAACTTGGTGGTATTATGATAATTTTCTCTCTTTTTTTTTTTTTTTTTTTTTTCCCAACATTACAAGTACAATTATTAACACTAAAAAGTGCATTTATGATTAAAACCTAAAACTTAAATTTAGAAAAAAAAAAAAAAAAAAACTAGAACCTAAACCTATATCGTACTTATTCCTAAACAATAAAAACTAAATCGCTAAACAAAAGTGAAAAAAAAAAATAAAAAAATCTGTAACCATAAATTCTAAAATATGAACCGCACTGCACTTCTAAACTAGCCAAAATGCACATCATAGTATTACAAAGTGCACTATATAGTGTTGCAAGGTGTACTTTAGTTTAAAGTTAAATAAAATCAACAAAATGTCACTGTAATTTTTTCTCTCATTTTAGAATCATTAGATTTGACTAGATAATAAATTACTGATATTGATTCTTAATTTTTTTCTATGAACAAGTTCTCTCTCTCTCTCTATATATATATATATATATATATATATATATATATATATATATGTATGTATATGTATAAAGTAAATTGGAAGGTGGAGAATGTTGGGTAAAGACTTGTAATTAAGGTGGAAAGGCTAAGTCTAGTATGTATTCTTTTATTAAAATATCACTAATTGTTACACAAATATAAATAAATATAAAATTATGCATTAGCGAAGGGTAAGCGTTTAATCAAAGAAAGATTAGCAACCATTAATATAACGAATATGTAAATCAATATAGTTATTGTAATTAAGTTCAATTCCCAACATTCTCTATCACACCACCAATCGTTATGTTGTGCATCCCTATGCACCATGCATGGTGCATACGGATGCCAAAACGACATCGTTTTATTAAAAAACGCACGTCTCCCCTTTAAAAAAAATTCAGGTTCGATTCCCAGCAACAACATTATATTGTTCATTCATTCTGGAATTTTAGTTCATAGATTATGGAATTATAGTTCATTGATTATGGAATTATAGTTCATCGATTATGGAATTGTAGTTCATCGATTCTGAAATTTTAGTTTATAGATTATGGAGTTTTAGTTCATTCATTCTGGAATTTTTAGTTCATAGATTAGATTATGGAATTATAGTTCATCGATTATGGAATTTTAGTTCATATGTTGTTGCTGGGAATCGAACCTAATTTTTTATTTTTTAAGCAGAGACGCGCGTTTTATTAAAACGACGTCGTTTTTGCATCCGTATGCACCATGGTGGATACGGATGCACAGCATAATTTGCCATCACCCCACTAATAACTTTGTTGTTGGGGCATGGACCAATTAATGGCTAGCTTAGGACTATGATAGCAGACTAGTGCCGGTATAATAACAGTTTGTAGTGAGTCAAGAGTCTAGCCCAGTGGCATAGAACTAGGCCCGGGAGCTTCAATGCTTATTGCATGGACCGTGGTCAACACAACTTGTGTGGACCACGGTCCTAAACGACGCCGTCTTTAAGAAGAGATGGCGACGTTAACGTGCGACAACGCATTACTTTTTTTTCAAAATACAGAAAACTTCGATGACCGACCTATGCTCAGAGCTTCACTGCTCCAATACGCTTCGTCTTCTCCATCGCTGAAACGAAGGAAAGCTTCATACCTACAGATTCATAAGGTATTGTTTCTTATTAGATCTTCAAACACATGAATATACATTATTTTCTACCTAGGGTTTATACGTTAATAGTGATTTCTACCTAGGGTTTATACGAAGAAAAGCTTCGCCCGCTCCACTGCGCCTCATCGTTTCCATTGCGCTTCATTGTCTACACTACTGAAACGAGATAAACCCTTCATTGCTGCACAGATTCTCAAGGTATTATTCTTATTAAACACACACACACACACACTCCTATTAGAGCTTCAAACAACATGAATGTACATTATTTTCTATGATTTATTGTTGTACTTTTCTACATTTTGGTTCATTCAATCTGATTAGTATGGGATTTTAGTTCATTCAATTTGAAAATGTACATTCTAGGTATGAATATTTTTTCATTATATATAAGTTAATCAAAATAATGCAATGTTTCTAGCCCCTCAACACGAACTTCACTATTACAAGAATTATAACACATGGTTAAGAAATATGATCGAACAGAACATTTTCCAAAGACTTACTGTCACATGAGCAAGCACAAGTACTACAAGTAAAAAAGCATCATTATATTATATTGTCACATAAAAAACTAAACACTGTCCTTAAAGATAGACAGACAATAATCATGTATGAACTTAATCAGACATACACTTGATCAGGGACGGAGCCAAAAAAATATTTGAGTGGGGGCGAAGTTTAAATGACGTTAGAATATCAATTACAAAATATCACACAGTCATCATAAGATTAAAATACAAAATATATTATAAATAATATAATGTTTTTGATATATTAAACGATATTTAGAGTCAGAGTAAAAAATATACTTGAGTGAGGTAAAAATGTAAAAATATTTATGATAAAATATGAAACATAATCAATTGAATAAAATAATTTGAATACAATGGAGTATAATATAAACTTGTATACTACATTAATTTAATGATTCATAGAAAGTAGACTAAAAAAATTTTTAATTTAGAGTCGGAGCCAAAAATATACTTGAGTGAGCTGAGGTAAAAATGTAAAAATATTTATGATAAAATATGAAACATAATCAATTGAATAAAATAATTTGAATACAATGAAGTATAATATAAACTTGTATACTACATTAATTTAATGATTCATAGAAAGTAGACTAAAAAAAATTTTAATTTGTTAATTGAATGATTCATAAAAGTAGGCTAAAAAAATAAATAAGTGAAGATAAAGAAAAATGTTTTGAATGAGATTTGAACTTATGACCATACACATTTTTCAAATGTATATTTAAAGATCTGCCGACTAAGCTACTCCAATTATTAGTATTTTGAACATAAATATATATTTTATACAACATTTAATGCTATACATGTCGATATATACATACATATATATAAAAGGGTAGGGTGGGGGGAGTGGGGGCAGCTGCCCCCACTGCCCCCATACTGCCTCCGTCTCTGCACTTGATGAAACACAAAATTAAATTGGTTATATTAGTTCATTATATTGATTATTTTATATTGAAAAGCTGGCTGGCAGGGTTGCCGAAGCCCTACAAATTTAATACTGGTTCACTCCACTAATTTGTAGTAGTGACAAGACCAGGTCGAATCCCAAGAGAACTAATGAGTTCGTTTCTTAAATTAAAATGACTCAAAGCAGGGAAATTAAAGTGATTCGCGAGAAATAAATAAAATCAATAATATATAATTGTAAACAAGTTCAAGAATATTGAGTTCTGATTCAAGGTAAAAGGAATGTTAAAGATGTGACTTAGATCATTGGCTCCTACGAATACAATTTAGATTCAAATACTTAGTCAAAGACTAATTAGGATAGCCATAACTAGTCTTTGATCTCCCTAAATTAATTGATTCAAATTAAGCATTCAAACCAACAATTGTTATTGAATAAACTGGAGACGATAGCGTTCCATATTCACCCACTAACATCATTACACTTAATGGAAAACAACCAAGCCTAAATCACAGATTGAGATAGCTACAATCTGTAACTTAGTCTTCCTATCCTTTATAAGCTACTGGGTCTAATTGTTTATGACAATTACGGATCATAAACTCATAGATAGTAGTTGGAAAATCAATAACAAGCTAAGTTGTCAATTTAATTCATTATCAACATTCCCTGGGAATTTTAACTTCAAAAGAACAGGAAATACAAGAATCTAGCAATTTAATTAAAATAAAACCTCCCTAAAATCACAACTAGAACTTCAATCCCTTGAATCAGAATTGAGATAATTAGCCAGACATAAAGCAAACTATTCTAAAATACTAAAAATATGAAAGGAACAATCTTCCAAATACATCAGAATAGCTCTCCTTTTATAGGGTTTCAAATCAACAATCTTCCCTAAAATTCAGGGCTCTTACCGCATCAATAGCTAATTCCTCCAACAAATTCAAAAGATTGCTTAATTCTCTCACAAATTTCGCGCTGAAACCAGTAGAAATCGCCATCCCTGCGCTTCTCGATCTCGCTTCGCTGCTGTCCGCGACCTCCCCTTCTGTTTCGCTGCTTGTACGCGACCTCCCCTTCTGTTTCGCTGCTTTTACGTGAACAAAACAAAAAAGAAGAATAAAATATAATAGTAAATAAACTTAACTGCAAAGAACGAATCTAACCTAACAATTACTTTGATTAATTACCTGTGGGACCCACCTAACTTATACTTATATAATAACTAATATAAGTTTAATTATACTAAAATTTATTATCTAAGTTATTTAATCCTAATATAACAAAATATACTAATAATAATGAAATATAAAATATAAATAATAAAATTAACCAATAAAACTTATTTAAATTAAGGTATAAAATATGCTCATCAAAATTCCCCCACACTAAAACTATGCTTGCCCTCAAGCATATCTTCATCCTTCTAACATAAACTTCTCCAACTCCTTTCGAAGCTACCTAGAAATATCTCAAAAATTATTATATATTTAAGGGTTAGAAGTGAAACACACTCAAGAGAACAAGCATGGTTTATTGATAATACTTAATAATAATAAAATAAAATAACTCACTAGTTTTATCAAAAGTCAATGAACAAGAGTTAACACCCTCACAAGGATTCAAAATTCACTCATTGCACTCATAGTGTTTAAGGTGTAGTATATCAAACTCTCCATTCAAAACATAGCAAGTAATCCCATAAGCTTGCAAGTAAATCAAATCTACACCACTAACAAACATGAGTTAAACCATGAATCAAAGGGTCTTTATTGAAGGTTGTAACTTGGCTAGGGACAAGGGATATGGCAAAAGGAAGTTTTAGGCTTATCAAGTCGAAGGAATCACATAAGCCTTTAACACAAAATTTCACCCTAAGCAAATCACAAAGCTCTGAACAAACCTTCATTCCTCCATTGCCTTCCCATTTCATTTTCATGTTTTTTTACTTCATTCATCATTCAAACCATTTTGCTGCCTCTAGTATACAACTTTATTCAAACTCTTTTTTTTTTTTTTTTTTTTTTTTTTTTTTTTTTTTTTTGTTCTTTTCAAAGATTTTTCTCTCAACCCTCTTCCTCAATCCTCCTCCCCTTTTGCATATTTCCCAACTTCATTTCTCAAAGAAACAACAGAATTTTCACATAAAAAGAATCATCACTTGGGTAAATTTATTCAACTCTCAATAAGAGCTATAATTTTCAGTTTCCATTTGCATCCTGAACTCACAGTAAACAATTTATTGCCCATAAGAACAAGCAAAACTTTGTGTAGATAGACCAATATGATTCCTTCAATTCAAGGGTTCAAAATTTATTGAGGGAAATTAACAAAGAAAGGGAAAAATGGCTTGTAATGTGGTAATTAAAAGAAAAGAAAGGCTAAAAGCTCAAAGTGGCTCACTAGGAGTTAAAATGTAAGGTAGACTTTTTTGGCTAAAAGTGACTCAACTTAAGTGTCATTTTCATCTTCATGTTCTAACCCACTTGAATGTGGTCTTAAAATGCATTTAAGAGCAAGTTCTAGCATACACAAGCCATGCTTGATATCACACAACAAAGAAGATTCAACAAAGTGTTGCTTTTTAAGCTCAAAAGCTCACCAAAAGGGTCAAATTGTATAAGTCTTGCACATTTTCATTCAATAAAACTAACAAGGATTTTTAAACTATAGGTTTTTTGTATAAAAGAAAAAGAAAAATTAAGTAAAATCATGCTTGCTTCTCTCATGTGTTAAAACTCTAAACCAAAAATATATCCTAACTTAAGACATATCCCTAAATAACAAGAAAGTAATCAAAACAAGTCATCAAGTCCAATACTACCATTGTTTACCCATCATCAGTGTGCAATACTCTCCCCCACACTTAATTCGTGCATTGTCCTCAATGTATGCACACATAAAAACTTCACATATTCACAAAGAAATTGAGCATATTATAAGAAGACCTATTTGAAAAATAAAAATAAGTAAACAAATAAAAAAAAGACGGATTATTGAATTGGGTTGCCTCCCAAGAGCGCATTTGTTTAACGTCGTTATGCCCGACACAGCCTCAAATGTGTTTTTATCAATTAAAATACTCCGGGAGGGCTAAATCAACATTTTCCAAACTCAAAACTGCCATTCCCTCATGAAATGGTTTCAACCTGTGACCATTAACCTTAAAAAGTTTTCCTGTATCAATGCTTTTAATCTCTACCGCACAATAAGGAAAAATATTAGAAATAACAAAAGGTCCAATCGAACGAGTACGTAACTTACCAGGCATAAGCTTCAAACAAGAATTGTATAATAAAACCTTTTGGCCTACCTCAAAATTCTTTCTCAAAATCATGTTGTCATGGAACATCTTGGTTTTCTCCTTGTATATTCTAGAATTTTCATAAGCATCTAACCTCAACTCTTCCAATTCCTGTAACTGCAATTTCCTTTCTTCACCAGCTTTCTTCATTCCCATATTACAACGTTGTACTGCACAATAGGCTTTATGTGCAATCTCTACTGGCAAATGACAAGCTTTTCCAAAAACCAATCGATAAGGGGACATCCCAATCGGAGTTTTGTAAGCTGTCCGATAAGCCCATAGAGCATCATCTAAGCGTAAGCTCCAATCTTTTCTACCTGTGTTCACAGTCTTTTCCAAAATGGATTTTACCTCTCTATTGGACACTTCAGCTTGCCCATTGGTTTGGGGATGGTACGTTGTAGCTGTTCTGTGATGCACTCCATACTTCTTGAACAATGCTTCAATTACTTTATTGCAAAAATGACTCCCTTGATCACTTATAACAGCACGCGGAACTCCAAATCTGTTAAAGATGTTAGATTTCATAAAACCTGCAACTACGGAAGAATCATCAGTTTTGGTGGCTTTTGCTTCCACCCATTTTGACACATAATCAACAGCTAACAGAATATATTGAAAGCCACAAGATGATGGAAAAGGTCCCATGAAATCAATGTCCCACACATCAAATATTTCCACAATCAAAATAGGAATTTGTGGCATTTCATTCCTACGAGATAATGAACCAGTTTTCTGACATTTTTCACAAGTTTTACAGCACAAGTATGCATCTTTAAACAAATTTTCCCAATACAAACCACTATCCAACACTTTTCTCGCAGTTCGTTTAGGACTAAAATGACCACCACATGCATAATTATGACAAAAAGCTAAAACTGACTGTTGTTCATTTTCAGGCACACATCGTCTTATTACTTGGTCAGCACAAAACTTCCATAGATATGGTTCATCCCAAACATAATATTTAGCTTCACTTCTTATTTTTTCTTTCCTAGACTTACTAATGTAACGAGGTAAAACTCCAGTCACTAAGTAATTAACAAGATCAGCATACCAAGGAACCATACCTGACAAGTGGAATAATTGTTCATCAGGAAAATTTTCAGAAATAGGAAGTGTATCTTCATCTCTTACCAATCTACTTAGATGATCCGCCACTGGATTTTCAGCTCCCTTTCGATCCTTTATTGTCAAATCAAACTCCTGAAGTAATAAAACCCATCTTATTAACCTAGGCTTAGACTCTTTTTTTTTTTTTTCCTAAAAGATACTTCAATGCCGCATGGTCAGAAAAAACTATGACTTTAGAACCAAGCAAATAAGATCTAATTTATCTAAAGCAAAAATAACAGCTAAAAGTTCTTTTTCAGTTGTGGAGTAACTGCATTGTGCATCATTCAATGTTCTTGAAGCATAATATATGACATGACTTTGCTTCCCAACTCTTTGGCCCAAAACAGCTCCAACTGCATAGTTGCTGGCATCGCACATAACCTCAAAGGGGAGTTCCCAGTTTGGAGGTTGAATAACAGGAGCACTTGTCAGCAGTGCCTTAAGCTTGTCAAAAGCTTCTTGACATTCCTTTCCGAACTCAAAAGTAACCTCCTTTTGCAATAGTTTATACAATGGGATAGCAATCCTTGAGAAATCCTTAATAAACCTGCGATAAAATCCTGCATGTCCAAGAAAAGAACGAACTTCCCTAACATTAGTAGGGTAGGGTAAGTTCACAATCAAATCTACTTTAGCTTTATCAACTTCTATCCCCTTAGCTGAAATTACATGCCCTAACACAATTCCTTGACTAACCATAAAATGACATTTTTCATAATTCAGAACTAAATTCGCATCAATACATCTTTTTAAAACTTTAGACAAATTATTTAAACACACTTCAAAGGAATCACCATAAACAGTAAAGTCATCCATAAACACTTCTATGCAACTCTCAATAAATTCAGAAAAAATACTCATCATGCATCTTTGGAATGTTCCTGGTGCATTACATAAGCCAAACGGCATCCGCCTGAACGCAAATGTTCCAAATGGGCAGGTAAAAGTAGTTTTTTCTTGGTCTTCTTGAGCAATAGCTATTTGATAGTAACCTGAAAATCCATCCAAAAAGCAAAAACAAGATTTTCCAGCTAACCTTTCTAACATTTGATCAACAAAAGGTAAAGGAAAATGATCCTTTCATGTAGCTAAGTTCAGTTTTCTAAAATCTATGCACATTCTCCAACCATTTTGTACTCTCATGGGTAACAATTCATTCTTCTGATTTCTTACCACAGTTATACCAGTTTTCTTTGGAACTACATGCACTGGACTTACCCATTCACTATCAGAAATCGGGTAAATTATACCTGCATCCAAGAGTTTAAGAACTTCTTTAAATACCACATCCTTCAATGTTGGGTTGAGTCTTCTCTGTGGCTCCCTTACTGGTCTGACATCTTCTTCTAATGGATTCTATGCATACAAACAGCTGGACTTATACCTTTTATATCAGCTAAAGTCCAACCCATTGCAGTTTTGTGTCCTTTCAACAGTGAAACCAGCTTATCTTCTTGTTCCTGTGACAACTTATTTGAGATAATGACGGGTAATGTCTCTCCCTCACCTAAGTATACATACTTTAGGTGATCAGGTAGAGTTTTCAACTCTAAAGTTGGAGCCCGCAACACAGATGGCAACATTTTTTCATGAGTTAAAGAAAAATCAGCATTTTGCAGAATTTAAACCAGATATTACAGCTGATAAAACTTCACAAGAAGAATCAACAAACTCATCTAAATCAAATTCAGCTTCTAAATCAAACAAATTTTCAACAAAACTATCTTCAAAAACATCTTGCACTATTGAATCAATTACATCCACATGATAAAGAGAATGATAATCATCAGGATACTTCATTGCATCAGAAATATTAAATTTAGCAATTTCTCCATTAAACTCAACAGAAAGAATACCCTTATCAACATCTATCTTTGTTTTAGCAGTTTTCATAAATGGTCTACCTAACAGAATTGGAGTTGATTGATCTATTGCATCATCATTCATTTTCAAAACATAAAAATCAACAGGAAAAACTAGTCCATTAACTTGCACTAAAACATACTCTACGACTCCAACTGGATGCACACAAGAACGATCAGCTAATTGAACAACTATTTTAGTTTCTTGCAAAGAATTTATATTTAAAGCTTGATAAATGGAAAATGGCATGACATTTATTGATGCACCTAAATCTAACATGGCACGCTTAATCTCTTTATTACCAATTATACAAGGTAGGGTGAACATACCTGGATCCTTGCACTTTTTAGGTAGATCATTACTTATCATGGCTGAAACATTCTTACCCAATATGATGGTCTCCTTACTCTTCAACTTCTTCTTATTGGTACAAAGTTCCTTTAGAAACTTTGCATACTTAGGAATTTGCTTTATGGCTTCTAGTAAGGGGATGTTGATTTCTACCTTTCTAAAGGTTTCCAAAATCTGATTTTCATGTTCTTCTTCTTTTGATTTTGCTAACCTTGAAGGAAAATGGGGTAGAGATGAATCATATTGACCACAAGAAGATTCAGAACTTACCTTGGATTTTTCATTAGCCGTAGACTCACTTTCCTCATTTGATTTTTCCTCTTTTTCCTCTTCCATTGATAATGGAGATTCAGGCTGAAGTTGCTTACCACTCCTCAATGTGATTGCATTTACATTTTCTTTAGGGTTTACCTTCGTTTGTGATAGTAGTTTCCCCGAAGCTTGGGCTTCCAACTTGCTAACAGATGTGGCTAATTGAGAAATTTGATTGCCCAATTGTTGAATACTTGCTCTTGTTTCTCGTTGAAACTGTTGAGTGTTATTAGCAAGTGCTTTAACAATTTCATCTAAAGACATACCTGAATTTGAAGCTTGGGGTTGAGATTGGTGAGGTGTTTGGAATTGTCTAAAATTCTTATTTTGAAACCTTGGTTGCGCCCCTTGATTCCCATAGCTCAAGTTTGGATGATCTCTCCATCCAGGATTATACTGGTTTGAAAAGGGATCATATTTTCGGTTGGGTTGACCAGGAAATCCACCTATTGCATTCAACTCTTGATTTGGATTTTGCAATGTTGGGCACATGTCTGTGGGATGCCCGACAAATGAACATATTCCACATGCTCCCGTAGATTGCATTTGTCCTACAGCCATTTGACGCACCAGAGTAGTCAAATCTGAAATTTTGTTTTCAAGTTGAGAAGTACTTACCTCGTTAACTCTACGAATAGATCCATCCGCACGTGTCCCATATTGTTGAGAATTTTCTGCCATGGTTGATATTAATTGTCTAGCATCCGTAGGTGTCTTGTCAGCCAAAGAACCACCACTAGATGCATCTACCATACTTCTATCTGTAGGTAACAGCCCTTCATAAAAGTATTGTATCAAGTGTTGGTCTGAGATTTGATGGTGTGGACAGCTAGAACACAACTCCTTGAATCTTTCCCAATACTCATACAATGTTTCACCTGTACATTGCCTTATCCCATATATTTCCTTCCTAATATTAGTTGCCCTAGATGTAGGGAAGAATTTTTCTAGAAATAGTTTTTTCACATCATTCCACGTGTTAACTGAATCGGGGAGAAGATTATAGGGCCAATCTTTTGCTTTATCTTTTAATGAAAATGGAAATGCTCTAAGACTTATATGCTCATCAGTCACCCCACGTGGTTTCATATCTGCACAAACTACTTGAAACTCTTTCAATTGTTTATGTGGATCTTCACCAGCCAAACCTCGAAAAATAGCGAGTAAATGAATCAAACCAGATTTTAAAGCAAAATCAACCTCATGATTTGGTATTGTTATACATAGAGGTTGTCGGTTTAGATTCGGTGCAGCTAACTCCCTAAGTGTTCTATTATTTGGTTAAGCCATTTTACTTACAACTTCCTCGTTTACTGGATCACAGGTTGAATTTACCTCTTCAGAACTCGAGGAAATATTCCTTTGCTTTGTTTCTTTCCTTAGTTGCCTTGCGACTTTCTCAATCTCAGGGATATATTGCAATTCTCCTGAATGAGAGGAACGAGTCATGCACCACTAAGGACAACAGAAACAATCACAAAGAAAAACTCAAGAAACGATTTTAGTTCCCCGGCAACGGCGCCAAAATTTGGCAGGGTTGCCGGAGCCCTACAAATTTAATACTGGCTCACTCCACTAATTTGTTGTAGTGGCAAGACCAGGTCGAATCCCAAGAGAACTAATGAGTTCGTTTCTTAAATTAAAATGACTCAAAGCAGGGATATTAAAGTGATTCGCGAGAAATAAATAAAATCAATAATAATTGTAAACAAGTTCAAGGATATTGAGTTCTGATTCAAGGTAAAAGGAATGTTAAAGATGTGACTTAGATCATTGGCTCCTACGAATACAATTTAGATTCAAATACTTAGTCAAAGACTAATTAGGATAGCCATAACTAGTCTTTGATCTCCCTAAATTAATTGATTCAAATTAAGCATTCAAACCAACAATTGTTATTGAATAAACTGGAGACGATAGCGTTCCATATTCACCCACTAACATCATTACACTTAATGGAAAACAACCAAGCCTAAATCACAGATTGAGATAGCTACAATTGTAACTTAGTCTTCCTATCCTTTATAAGCTACTGGGTCTAATTGTTTATGACAATTACGGATCATAAACTCATAGATAGTAGTTGGAAAATCAATAACAAGCTAAGTTGTCAATTTAATTCATTATCAACATTCCCTAGGAATTTTAACTTCAAAAGAACAGGAAATACAAGAATCTAGCAATTTAATTAAAATAAAACCTCCCTAAAATCACAACTAGAACTTCAATCCCTTGAATCAGAATTGAGATAATTAGCCAGACATAAAGCAAACTATTCTAAAATACTAAAAATATGAAAGGAACAATCTTCCAAATACATCAGAATAGCTCTCCTTTTATAGGGTTTCAAATCAACAATCTTCCCTAAAATTCAGGCTCTTACCGCATCAATAGCTAATTCCTCCAACAAATTCAAAAGATTGCTTAATTCTCTCACAAATTTCGCGCTGAAACCAGTAGAAATCGCCATCCCTGCGCTTCTCGATCTCGCTTCGCTGCTGTCCGCGACCTCCCCTTCTGTTTCGCTGCTTGTACGCGACCTCCCCTTCTGTTTCGCGGCTTTTACGTGAACAAAACAAAAAAGAAGAATAAAATATAATAGTAAATAAACTTAATTGTAAAGAACGAATCTAACCTAACAATTACTTTGATTAATTACCTGTGGGACCCACCTAACTTATACTTATATAATAACTAATATAAGTTTAATTATACTAAAATTTATTATCTAAGTTATTTAATCCTAATATAACAAAATATACTAATAATAATGAAATATAAAATATAAATAATAAAATTAACCAATAAAACTTATTTAAATTAAGGTATAAAATATGCTCATCAAAATTCCCCCACATTAAAACTATGCTTGCCCTCAAGCATATCTTCATCTTTCTAACATAAACTTCTCCAACTTAAGAGGAACTACCCAGCCATTTCTAATTGGACATCCGAAATGGTTCAAAAGAGAATTATGAGTGAAAAACAATTAGGAGGATTCGACAGAGGAAAGGTCCTAGATAGCCTTATAAAGAGGGTTCATGATGCTAAAGAGGCTATTGTAGACACTGAAAACGTAGAAACAAGTAGAGGTGTTCATGATAAAGACTGTGAAATAAGTGATGTTAAGAAGATCTCCATGGGCATGAAGAAACTTGTTGCTGCGGTAGTCGAATTTGGAGGGGTGATGGCTGATGTGGGTAGCAAGCAAACAGGCAAGGAAGTTGTGAAGATGACATTTACCAAGATATCTGATCTACTAACCACAATGTCATCTTCACAACCTACTGAGAAGGATCTAAGGCTGTTGGATGACGATCCAATATTTGAAGATGAGAACTTCATGGCTGCAATAGCAACACTAGAGGACGCATTCAAAGAAACATCAAGTTCTTGCGCATTCTCCCCACCAAGATTTGATCTTCTAACACCTACCCCACCTGCTGAAGAGAAAACATCGCTAGATAAGTAAGTTATACTGAAATTGTACATTATTTTTATTCCTAAAGTACATTATTTTTGTCTATAATGTACATTATTTTTGTCTATTTTTTTTTTACAGTATCATTGAAGAATCCGAGTCACATCTTGAAGATGTCCGAGTCAGAAAAAGAGAGCATAGAAAGTTTAAAAATCTTCCATTAAAATATAGGTCTCCGTATTGGACAAAGTATAATAAAGAGCTTTTAAATGTGACTCAGAAAGAAAAGCTTTTATCTGACTATGCTTTCATTGAGCCTTGTGAGGAGCACAGAAAAGAGTATGCTATTAACTAACTTTGATACTATTACATACTAATTTTCATCTTTAATATGTATTAACAGGTATATTTGTTGTAGAGAACTTCTCTTTACATAGGACGGGAATTATATTGCACAAGACCAATTCCTAACTTTGCGGGATGGTAAGGTGGTGAAGAGCATAGTTGATGTATGGTGCATAAGGATGAACATGACAAATCTCACCCGTGGCATGAGTGAACCGAAATGTGTCTACTTCACCACAAATGTCTTCGTAAGTAATAGTGTACATTATGTTTTCTCCTAAATGAAATTATTTTCCTATATAATATACATTCTTTAACATGACCCTTGGAAAGACTAACAACCATGAAAAAAAAATATGAAAATTGTGATAAATTGCTGGTAAGTTGCAGTTCTTTTATGCTTCAATGAATCCTTTATTTGGTCTCAACTTGCACATGATCCCTACTTAATACAGTGCTAGGTGTTGGCCCTTCCTTTAGGGCTGAAGCCATATATATTTTAGTTTTTTAATGATTATAATTTATGAGAATTAACTAATGTGCAGATAAATGCCTTCAAAGGCTACTTAAAAGAAAAAAAATCACAACATTGCTTAGCAAAATGGCAAAGAAAAATGCATTTCAGCATGAGATTGTGAAAATGCATTAGAGAAACTCTGACAATATGATAGATTGTGGAGTCTATTGTATGAGGCACCTTGAAACCTTCAAAGGTGTTGGTCCAAACTGGACTACAGGTTTACCAGAACAAAACAAGATGTAGGTACCATTGTTTTTATCATATTTTCCTTATAAAGAATTGACATATATATATATACTAGTATTTTTTATGCGCGATGCGCAAAAAATAGGTGCCCAATATTAATACATTATATTAAAATTTTTAAATTATTTAGATTTTAGATATTTAAACTATTATAAATAATAATAATAATAATAATGTAAATCATTTTTATAAATTTGATATTTATATTTATGTAATAATTAACATATAACTCAAATATTTAATGTGTATATATTATTATTAATGAAGAAGATAAGAAAATATATGGTGGATGCATGTGCATGGTAACAATAATGGAAAAGATAACGGAAGTTATAACGGTAGGGATATGTTTGTCCAAAATATTTTAATGTACAACCTTTATAGCATAATGTACAAAAAAACTTAACGGAAAAAACGGACATAAATCAGGGGTATAACTTTCATTCACACTTATTATGTTTTTAGATATATATATATATATATATATATATATATATATATATATATATATATATATATATATATATATATATATATATATATATATATGAAATTTTCATTCTGATGAAGTCAAAAACTGAAAGTGTAAAATAATGTACACTAGGGACAAAAATAATGTACAGTAGTGACAAAAAAAATGTACATTTTCATATTGAATTAAATTTTCATTCTGATGAATTCAAAAATTGAAAGTGTAAAATAATGTACACTAGTGACAAAAAAAAATGTATATTTGCATATTGAATGAAATTTTCATTCTGATGAAGTCAAAAACTGAAAGTGTAAAAAAATGTACACTAGGGGCAAAAATAATGCACACTAGTGACAAAAAATATGTACATTTGCAGATTGAATGAAATTTTCATTCTGATGAAGTCAAAAATTGAAAGTGTAAAATAATGTACACTAGTGACAAAAAAAAATGTACATTTGCATATTGAATGAAATTTTCATTCTGATGAAGTCAAAAACTGAAAGTGTAAAATAATGTACACTAGGGGCAAAAATAATGTACACTAGTGACAAAAAATATGTACATTTGCAGATTGAATGAAATTTTCATTCTGATGAAGTCAAAAACTGAAAGTGTAAAATAATGTACACTAGGGGCAAAAATAATGTACACTAGTGATAAAAAAAATGTACATTTTCAGATTGAATGAAATTTTCATTCTGATGAAGTCAAAAACTGAAAGTGTAAAATAATGTACACTAGGGGCAAAAATAATGTACACTAGGGACAAAAATAATGTATATTTGCAAACAAATAATTCTTGGAGTACGAGTTATCGATCCACAGGGAAGTGGTTGTATCAAGCACTAGTTACTAACTTATTCATTAGAGCTAATCCTAACAATTACTTAGATGATTGATTGGCATAAAATAAATAAAATAAAACAGAGGTTCAGGATTTTGAAAACAATTAGAGAGAAGTTGAGATTCATGGGATTCAAGTATTTAATCACCTAGTGCCAATTATCGTTTGCAATATTTAGTTTGGAATTAAGATTTGTGTGGGAATGCAAAGTGGAATCGAATTACTCCCGTAATCTCTA